ATTCCTATTTGTGTCTTTCACTATCCTTACTGGGACAATGTCAGCATATGTTTGTGCTCATTTTGTAGTGGTTGACAGTGATGCACATTAGGAAAAAAAAGAGGACTCCCATTCTAGCTAGTAGATGGTGTTCCTTCTGTTACTCAGTTTCACTTATTTGCTGCACTTCTGAAGCACAAAATAAAAGCATGCTGTTTCCGTGCTTACTTGGAGAAGCCAAGGATGCATATATTAATTAAACAATATAAAAAATATATGTAATTTAAAGAACAGTGAGCCCCTTAATTGAAGAAATAATGAACTTGCTTACTTGTCCTCCTCAGTGTCTGGAAAGAGCATGGACCCCATTTGCGGATCAAACTAGAATAACAAACTCTGAAAGATTCGACTGAAGATTTTTGTTGTTGTTGTTGTTGTTGTTGTTGTTGTTGTTGTGATGGTGTTTACTTTTAAGCAGCCCTGTATTATCATCCCTGTAGTAAAAATTATGTGGATTTTGTGGTATTTCAGTGCTTTTGTTTTCCGGTTTGGCCTTGATTTTCTGGTTTGATAAGTGAAAACCAAATGCACGCCTCCTGCAGGTCCATCCACTGCCATTTGCCATTATCTGGTGGCCCGCTCATTCTCACCAGGGAAGTTCACTGACCTTTGCTGTGACCTTCCCCGAGGAGAGCTCTTTTTTCTCTGTCAGGCTTTTCATGTCACTTTCTAGCTGCCTGTCCCCCTGTGTCGCGGACAAACGCACACAGAGGGGCATGAGTCAGAAATTTTATAGCCCATTCATGATCCTTGATTTATGTCAGTGCTGTATCCCTGCTGTCCTCCCAACTTCTCCAAAGTGATGCAAGGCTGGGAGCGCGTGAGGTTAGCAAACAAGGGCAGAAGGAGAGGTCAGCAATGTCTCATGGGTCAGATAGCTGCTGCAAAAAAGCTAGAGCAGCTGGCAGCTAGTTAGGAAGAAAATGGCCACTGAATGTGACATTACTTAATTAAGAGAGTGCCTTAGCTCATGTTCCCCCTCCTCACTTCGCTTCTGTACATTGCTGTAGTGGGGGTTGGGCGATTGCGCTTCCCACTGAAGCTCTTGGGCATAGTAACTGTCTTCTGTTCAGGCTCATTGAAGACACAATTAAATGCCTCTTTGTTTAGCGATAGCTGAAACAATGCAAAAATACCACCCAGGAGCTAGACCACATGCAAATGCGCACTGCTATGGCTTGACCAGATGGTACAGGCACTTACTGAGATTCTCCTACCAAATGCAACAGTTACATAGGTTGTGTGTGTCTGTATGTGCATGTAGAAAAGCGAAACTGCAAAACCATCACAAACGCACACAAAGACAAACGTCTCAAACGTGGCCACAAAAAAAAAAAAAAAAAGTAGCACGACCTTAAAAAAATAAGAGTGAAAGAGAGCCCTTGTAGGAAACGGTACCCAGAAGAAAAGACAAACCTGTGGTCAAAACAAAACGGTCTTACTGTGGCCAGAGAAAATAAAAAAGACTTTATAAACATCCTTTGTAAACGAGCAGGCTTGCATGAAAGAAATACCTGTCTCCATTTTTCCACTTCAAAGAAAAATGATGTGGGATTTCAAAGTCTGCCTTAATTCTGTAAGTGAAAAGAGGTTGCAATATATTGTAAGCCCCTGCATCACTCTTCTTCCTCCCATTGGCAGAGATGCAAACAAAACTACTGAAAGGCCCGCTACAGCCACTGTTCAGACTGGAGCAGGCTTATTCAAAGCTGATTCCAACCGTGCTTTAGCTGTGGTGGAAAGGAAGATCCTGCACATTCTTTTGTTTTGTTTTGCTTGTTCAAGCCGTGCTGCCTATTGCAGCATATGTATTAATACAACAAATCAAAATTTCTGCTGTGATTTAAGAACGGTTCTCTCTGAATGCAAGAACACACTTCCGGTATCCAAGAATCTTAGCATTTTCCAATATACGCATAGGAAGCTGGTTGTTTATCATGGGACAAGAACAAAGGAAAGCAAGCTGCATCTGTTTAAACAAAATGGTATTTTATAAAAAGCATTCCTATTTAACCAATAAGTTGTAAGCTTTAAAGAGGGCAACTCTACCACTTGTAATATTTGAAAGAATCCACGAATGTGTCTAGAGGTGATAAAAATTGTTATTCCTTACTATGGAAACACAATAAAAGTCATGGAGTGAAGTTCTGTCCCCATGAATTCATTGGGAATGTTACTGTTACCAACAGGGATTTCACCCAGGTTTTTTCATCAAAGTCAAGGCCATAAAAAAAATAGCCATAAAAAAAATAGTAGTAAAATACTAACAGTATTTTGTTTCCACTTTAGATATCATAGACAATACTACAAGACATTAAAAATTCTTTTTATTTTCAGGTTGCAAAATCAAACTAAGATGATCAGATTTTGAATCACATAAAACACAATGATTCTAAAAATGTTCTATTGCTGATGTGAGTGATCTGCTCCATTTCCACTCAAATTAGTGAGATACAGGTGTGCAGATCCATCCGAGCTTATACTTGCACACCTCTGACTTTGATGCCACGCTTTACAGAACGAAACAGATGTTCCTAACAACTACTTAAATTCACACTGAAAACTGGTAAAGCTCTGAAGTGTGCGAGGATTACTGAAGAACAGATAGTCAACATTTCTTTACTTCAGACCCTTCTTTTTTTCCACTATAACTTCAAAAGGTGTGATTTTGTGGACGTATCTATGATACCTCTTTGCCTTCTACCTTGATTTTCCTTTTAGCTTGGAGACGTTGTCAGTTGCAAGGCAGACACATCGGTTCTAAGGATCTTGCTTATGTGTGTCAGTGACTCGAAGAAAAGATTACAGTAGGTCATAATCCTCTCATCGCTACTGTAAGTTGTTGGATAACTTCTGATGTCATCTTTAGAGGCGTTGTGCCTCTCCAACTCAACAAATCAAAGAAAAACACGAACCAGATCACAACACATGCTTACTTCCTATTTTACTTACTTCTGAACTCGGATGCGCTATATTTGTGTGTCTTACTAAACATTGTTAGTAAGCAAACCTGTCTTATAGGGGACTTTATGCTGTATTGCATAAAGAAAATGAAATAGCCAAGTGCTGTATGGCATTCAGGATCATTTGGTAGTTAACACTCATTCACAGTTCTTCTCAGTAAAATGGCATTCAAAGCTATAAATGTAGGTCTGTACACTTGGTTCATTGAGAATAAAAATACAAAGTTAAACGCAGAAGCAGCTGAAGATAAAATGATCAGAGAGGAAGAGGATTCTGGATGGATTATCTTTATTTATGTTAAGAGACTTAAAGGCAGGATTAAAACAGGCAGTCAAAGAATGCTCATGGTTGCCAAACAAGTAAAGTGGAATATCAGATCCATCTGGCAGCATATTAAGCAAATAAATAGTAAGGCTTATTAATTACTGTGTTCACATTAAACAGTCTGTAAAGAATTACTGGGAACCAAATTTTATAAAATAGATAAGATGAAGAGCATGTCACTGGACAAAAAAATAATTCTTCTGCATGTATTGACGTACTTTCTGAATGTACAAATTTAATAGATTATGTTCTTATCTGGCCATCGTAACATGGCTTAACGTTATACGTACAGCGTAGGGAGAAATATTTTCTTTCTTAATTTCTGTTTTGTGACAAGGAAGGTATGTCCCAGTTCTTTCACTGCAAAAACTTTTTTGGTATTTATTTTATAAAACTATTATAAAAGGTTAAGAACTTAAATATATTTTTGTTGTGGTTTACTTTAGAGATGTCAGGTGGCAGATAAGACATTACTTTATTGAACCCTCTGCCTTTGTTAAATAAAAATCAAACCATAACACTAAAATGAATTCCATGGCAGAAAAAAATACAACTGAAAATTTACTCTTCTGATACATTTTGATTATGAACACTGGCCATTCAGCAATCTACAAACAAATATAGTAGAAGGCAGCTTTATTCTATCTCCTAGTAGTAAAGAAACAACAAATACGAAACCCTGCGTCACCCTGTTGGCTTGGAGACTATGGCCTCTCTTTGGGATTGTGTACCGATACTGCCAGTAGTAGATCCTTTTTATTAAAGCATTCACATATCCATCCCCTGCCTGGAGTCCTATAAAAATCCTGAAGCGAAGCCATTTGCCTGAGTACCATAAGCCCTTCCCAGTTCTTTTTCTGCTGGCACAATGTTATCTGTGGATGTGGATTTAGTTGCACCTCTGTAAACATTCTTCCAGTAACAGTCTCACAGCACCACAGCCCCCATAGCAGTTAGAGCCAGGCAACATTTTAGTCTCTGTTGGCCAGATTTCAGAGCGACAGAAGTTCACCTCCCCTTAAAACCATTTTGGTTTTGGAAAAGCTGCGCTTTAGATCAAATCCAATTAACAAACTTGTTAGAAATCAAGCAATACCTGCATAGGTTAACGTGTGTAAGCCTAAAGAGGGAGATTTTAGAGGAGTACAAATAATTACTGACTTGTCCCATAATGAACCAACCTGATGTTGGGCCCGGCTTACTAACAGTGAAATGTCAGGGAGGATCAAGCTGATCAGCAAGGGCAGAAAATACAGCAGGAACAGGAGACTTTGTTGCCTGTATGCAGATTGTACAAATGGTATGCCTAGGTGTAACACAGAGGCTGACTGTTCAGGCATTTTCAGCGTCTCTTAGGTGGAACAGCTTCTAAGAAAGCTCACAAGAAGACAGACAGCTTTTGACTTCACCCTGAGTAGCATTTGGGATCTGGTTTGAAATCTCATATTTGAAGAGCCATTCTGCGACAACTGCCTTAACATGCTTTGATGCAGTATTGTTACAGGAGCAGCAGCAGCCAAAACATTCAGCAAATTTGTCCTCGGTTTCAAAAAGAGAACTATGTAAAAATAACAGTTTGTTAAAAAGTAATTTTAAAAGTGCAGCTGAATTCCATTTTCAGAGGCAGCAAGGGAGCTATCTGAAGACGCACATTTTAGAAACTTAAGGTCTATATGCACTTGGCTTACGAAGGAAGGCTTGAGAATGGGCAAAAAGGAGACAGCACAGGTAAACAACAGGCTAAAGGAGGTTATTCAAAACAAGACAAGAAACAAGATTATTAGAAACAGATTATTAAATCATTAGAAATAGAATATTAGAGGTTATTAGAAACAAGAAACAGCTTTCTTTAAGAAAAAGGTGAAGTAATACTGCAATGAAAAAAATAGAAACCCTACATATTCCTGCAGAGCAAATGTAAGAAAACAGTTAGACTGGAGCCCCCCCTCTTCCCCCAAAGGTATCAAAATTAATAATCTTTCTTCAGTCCTTAGGAACAGGAAGCCTTCCAGGAGTCTGCTAGACTAATTGATAACCATGGTATTAATATGAGTACTCAGAGAAAACAAGGCCATTGCAGAGAAGTCCATAAACTGTTTGAGTCAGCATTCACCAGTGGATATCCTGGAAATTGAAGGGATTTTGAAGGAAGAAGGGATCAAACTGATAAAATGAATGGTAAGAAACCACTAGGACCAGGTGGAAATTGCTAACGTGTGTGTAAGTACAGTTTGAAAAGCGTACCGACACCCGCTGCCTGCAGGATGGAAAATGGGGTGTCAGTTTTTAAAAAGAGTTCCATGGAGGCCAGGGTCCCTGACGGGCTGGGACAGGCAGTCTGCTCTCTCTCCCTTGCCAATCAGTAGAAACTACGGTGGGCAACAGAACTAGGCGACACCTGGATAAATATGATCTACCTGGAAGAGTCAACAAAACTTTTGGAGGGGGAAATTCTGCCTTATGAGTGTACTGAATTCCCTGAAGAGTCAACCTACACGTGGAGAAAAGTGGTGTGTAAGTTGCGTTTCCAAGGGGTAACTCATCTGCTTGGAGCAGACAAGGGAATGTGTACCTGTCTGAAGCACCTGGAATCTTCCTTTCCAATCACACATTTCTCCCCTAAACAGCTGTTTCTCTCACCTCTTCCCAAGACCTTTCTGAGATACCTTAAGACTCAGTGCTGAATAAGGTGCGTCTCAATCCCTCTGTCACCTCCTTTAACTTCCTCTGTTCCCAGGAATGCAACTTCCTACTTCCCTTCTGTCATGAGATGAGCAATACTGTCCTGAGCCTGGAAAGTGGTGTCAAGGGACAGAGCTTTAAAGGGTAGATTTCTAGGGGGAATTGAAAGCATTTTAACCACCATAATTACAAACTCCCTGTTCTTTGTGCTGTGCCTCCATTTCTAGGTCACCTTGAAGAGGGGATACTACGTGAGCATGCAGGAATGAACCTACTCTCAAAGCCTGAAAACCCCCTGCTCGCTGACTCCTTAGCAGGTAAAGCGGAATGGATGTGTGCAGATCCCCTGCCAGACTTCCTGTGACAGGAACATTTCAGAAGGAAAACAAAACACCTTTCTCTGGACAATCACAGGAATTCTGCGCTGCTACAGCCTTTCCTCATGGAATCCACTTGGAGCTCAAACGCACTGTTACCCTCTGGCACTGCCGCATTTCTACTGTTCATCTGATCAGGTGTGATTTTTGCTCATGAACAGCAGTCCAAAATATCAGATCCACTATACTGCTTAAAGATCTTATTTCTTAAAATAGCCTAAAGATCTCATTTCTTAAAATAGCTCCATTTAAGTTTTAGACCCTTTTTATAAGTTAGGAGTGCTGTGGCAATTCAGGTATCTTTTACAGCCTTCCGATCTCCTGTGGAACCACCACAAATTTCAGCTGTGGTAGGTCTCCTTTTGTGCTGGATTTCTGCAGGGCTGCACCCTGCTATTTGCACGCAGCAAAGCGATTGTTTTCTTCCACAGTGGCTGGAATAAATTTCTCAGAACTTCTAATTCATTCAATCGAGGGCCAAGGGCTGGGGAAAATGTAGCTGCTGCAGCCCCTGTAGTTGTTATTATGGTCAGAAATATAATTGTAACTGGTGGTAGAAAGAGACTGAGTCAGCTAAAACAGCGGAGCAAAACGTCAGCAGCATCAAGTGTTAAGGCCACTCGGTTTTAAAATGACAGCCCTTCTATCTGTGGCTTTTCCTTTCTTTGAGAGGGCTCCACCTTTCAGGATTCTGTGTTTTGAGATACTGTCTTCTGAGCAAATAGGAACAGGCATGATTGCTCTCCCAGAAATACAGCTTTTTAGTAAACTAGCTTTAGAGTTGCTCCTGACACACAGATGCTGAGCATAAGCCTGCCTCTCTACTTGCAGATGCACCCCGACCAAAGGAAGACGACACGCTGCATTGTGTTTCCGTGCTGGGAAGAGGTCTGGCTAGGCGTTACCTTCTCACGCTGCCCATGGCACAAGAAGGAAACGGGGGCACGTCGGATCTGGAGCACTCTTTGACCGAGTCCCTGCTGTAGATGGTTGGGCCCGGTGACCAGAGCTTGGCAACCCGCTCATAATGTTGTTCAAAGCTTCAGAGCACGCTTAATCGTCAAACCCGTTTCATCCTCCCTTGGCCGCAGAGCACCTCTCCCTCCCCTTCTCCCACACGCCCCCAACGAGCTCCGCTGACAGGCCTGGGAAGTCAGACGTGGGGTGGCTGAGGGTAGAGCGGGTTTCCACGTTCGCATCCTCGCACAAGACGAAGGAGGTCTTAGGTGGGGTGGGCCTACCTCTGCTGACAGAGGCCTTCCCGCAGAGCTGGGATAGCCAGGGGAAGAGGCGGGAAGCGCCTCTCCCTTCTCCCTCATCCTACGAGCTCCTCTTCCCCCCGTTGCCGGAAGGCATCCCACCTCCCGGCCTCCTCCAGGGCTG